ACAACAACAACAACAATTAGCATCACTTGCACAATGACATTGTGACATACAGGATGTCATTTGAAGTCACTGTGGCTCCTCTCCGATGCCTATGTTCAGGAAATATTTTGATTAGTTATATGCTTCCCCTTACAGGACCAACAGTGGCTCTGTAGAAGGGGGTGATCATCACTCTGTGAACAGTATGAAAGGGAAAGCTGCTGATTTATTTTAAGAAACTGTACATCTCTCTTCCAAATTGTCATTAAAACCCTTAAAATAGTGGGAGATACAATGCAGCTCCTGCAACCTGGTTCACAAATTATTATGCAAAGAGGGTAGTCTTTTTGCAAACAGATCTTAACTATCTTTCACATGCTAAGCTAAATAAATCAACTGGAGCACACACAAACATATACGCACATATTTCAGAAGTGCAGATTTTTTCCCCCCTAAATCAATTATTTCATCATTCTTTTTCTCACCCCAGGAATGGCCCATTCTCCACAGTCCTTCCTTTTGATTGCAATAAACTGTAAGATGTTTTTACCAGATACTGGATGAGCTGTTTTATTGCCACTGCCATCTCTCTTCCATCTGCAAGTTGCACCAAAAAGAGAGTTAAGCCCTCAAAATTCAAGAAGAAATGCAGCATGTTACGGGTGACAGAGAGCAAGTAGGTCCAGATGTAACTCAAAACATGGGTATAAGAGCCATATGTTGACATATTCCTCCACCCACCACACGATCAAATTCATTGCATGAAATTGCAACTGGAGCATAAAGGAAGAGTTGTTGGGGTGGGGTGGGGGTTAAATATATGGTTCATCGTTCATTCACTTAATGTCAAACCATGACTAGGCATTAGATCTGAACAATCCAGAGTCCTGGATATGAAATGGCAGAAAACCCAAACCAGCAATGGATTACTATTAAATGCTTTCATGATATACAGTTCCAGTTTCCTGGTTTTTTTAAAAAGATTTTAAAGTAGAATGAAAAGCACACGTTGGCAAGAGAATCAGGATTTTTATCTATTATACCAGTAAACATTAACCATTCTCACTTGAATGTACATTTATGTTTTCTTCTCGTGCTAACTACATTGTCTGTATCACATGACTTACCTTGTTATTAGAGGATCGGCAGCATGATTGGGTCCCCAACATCCCAGCAGACCTCGTCCCACCAATCCTGTCCTGCCTACAGGATTCCTGAAAGTAACAGAAGTCTGGCTGTAATCCAGTGTTTTTCAAACTTGGCAGTTTTAAGATGTGTGGACTGCAGCTCCCAGAATTCTCCAGCCAGCATGAAGAGAGTAGTACAAATGTAAATTAACAATGCAGACATGCCATGATACCCTAATTACTCTAGGTTGCAGAAAAAGAAACTAATTACATACCAAGTTACAGAACTTCATACACAAACATATCTAAGGACTCAATTCATATATCACACTAAACTAAAATGTGGATTTACTGATTTTTAACTACACATGCTGATGAATATAATAGTGGTATTTTGATTGAAATATGTGGTTTATCCAGTTATGTGAACCCAGTGAACTGTAGTTTATTCAACAAACCATGGTTATCAAGCCATTGCTTAGTTTGAGGTGTCCACTTAGCCAAGACTGCTACATACCTGGGCCTCCCATTTTCCACTTTATATAAACCATTGTGGCTCCTCCTTTCCACTTCCCCATCCTTCTCGTTGAACTTTGGAAAAAAGTTTTTGGCTCTTTTCAAAAAAGAAAGAAAAACATACGTAAAGATTATATAAAACATTTCATGAAAGTTATGAACGTTGTAATTCAAAACACAGTTTTGTTTAAAAACATCTAATCCCAAATAAGCTTTTTGTCAGCTACGTTTTTCATTCCACTTTGAATATTTATTCCCATATTCTATCCTATCCTTCAAACCCCCTACCGGTTCTTCATTCTGTTCATGCACTTCAGGCACTGATGCTTGTAGTAGTAATTTGCTTAAGCGGTTCCTCAATGACACCTATTTACTGCCATATATTTGTGAGACCTATTTCCATAATTTGATAACTATTTGCTGCCTCTCTGGGAATATTTCCATTGTGAAGGTATGTGGGGTGATAAACTGTATGTCAGAGATGCTTTGGCAGTGTGCAAAAGAAAAAAGAAAACCATAATCAACTAATTTTCCTTCTTTTTTAGTAATTGTGTGTATAGGTTTTTAATTATATGTTTATTTATTGTTTTTAACGAGCTGTGAGCCGCCCAGAGTCCCCCATTGGGGGGAGATGGGTGGGGATAAATTTGATAAATAAATAAATAAATAAATAAATAAATAAAGCAAAATAAATATCTCATATTTTACAGTGCTTTACAGTTTTTTAAAAAGATACTATTATGTAAGACTAACATAAATGAAATATAGAAATTCTTTTAGTCCTATCTTTTCTATGATGCTTGTAAAATCTATTACTTTTCTTTTGCCTTTTTTCTCATTTGTCTTTTT